CCTGCTCTGGGTGACCCTGCTTCGGCAGGGCGGTTGGACTAGATGACCCACAGAGGTCCCTTCCAACCCCTACCATTCTGTGATTCTGTGATTCCCCCTTGCTCCCCGTGGCCTCTCATGTGGACCTCAACACCCACGAACTGGGGAGAAAAGAAAACGGAGAGGTTAGCACTGACAGCAAGGTGGAGCTCTTGATTCAGTCATTTTTTTTCTTCCTTCAGCACCACTCAATTTTTCCCTTGCAAACTATCTACCTACACACTTTTCTTGACTCCTCCAGGTCAAAACTAGCAAATGACCACGTTATTCTGGAGACTCCTCTCCAGCCCAAGAGCTATTCCTTCCTCTAAATCCTGTGTTTGCATAGCTAGAGTGGGGACATGTCCAGAGTGACACTAAAGGGCAGGTATGGGGAGGCAGGAATTCTCCTGCTTCAGACCTATTTGCTAGCACTTGGTGTCTCATACCCTGAGATGATCAGCACAAACTTGGCATGCCAGTAAGAAATGTCTGCAGAACCAACTGAAGTAGAAACACCGGCAACATGTTGTTTAGTTTCCAGAAATACTTTTGGTGATTTGGTATTACTACATCTCTTAACAAGGCTCACCTGGAAATATGGGCCTTAATGAAGGAAGCAGCTCTGTTAACTCTGGGTTAAAACATCAATGACATCCCCTCCTAGATTTGGAGAAATGGCACCATTTCCCTGAACTTTCTGAACTCCTGAAATGTGGGAGAGCCCATCCTGGGCCTGTCTAGAGACAGACAGTTCCCTACGGAGCAGCAGAAGCGGGGACATGGGAGACAATGTGAACAGAAAGGATGGGAACACTGTGCAGGAGGGAGGTGTAGCCTCTCAGACATAGGTTTCTCCTGTACCCAGCTCCTGTGCAGTGCCCTCCTGTCCTGAAAATACTTCCTGCCAACGCTGATGCTCTCCTGTCCCAAGAACACTTATGGGCAACGCTGCAAAATACAGACTGCAAGGACAGAGAGCAGTGGAGAAAAGCCTTCTTCAGGAAGAAGATAGTCCAGTTTGGGTTTATCCAGAGAAAAGGAAAGATATTTTTATGTCTTTGTTTCAAACAGCCTGTGGCTGTTCCTCAGAAACCCCTGAGAGGCCATCGCTGTTATTCTGCATTTATCTTACTTTCCCCAGGGAACATAATCTCCTTCTCCCACAGGATCCAACAGGGCTCCCAAAAATAATAGAAGCTTTAAACAAAAATTAGAATGACATATCTTTGCAAAGCAGCATGAATGCTCCCCGCTTCACAAGAGCAGGGGGGAATCTCCAGAGCAACCAGCCACATGTCTGCGTGTCCATGTGTACATCTGTCTGCAGGCAGAAGCCGGGCCAGAGCGGACCCTGCAGTACTGCAGCCCTGGGGAGCTCGGGAAGAGGAGCAGCTGCCCACAGACACCCACACAGGGGCCATTATGCACCCAAAATAGCTGCCCTCTCCGACAAGAAAGAGCACAGGCTCAAAGGGCAAATCCCATCTCCATTCCTAGTAGGGTCATGGGCAAGTCAACGATATTTATGAGCATGGCTATTGAAGGCAAAGACAATCCCTGGTCTTTATCCATCACCAGGAAGAGACTCCAATGGCCTTGAGATGGCATGTACGGATGTATCCCTCCCTATAGTCTATGCGCTCAGTCTCCTGTCTGTCCTCCTTTTGACCGACCTGTAACCCCCAGCCCTGGGCTTTGAATCCCACCCAAGATTTCTTTTCACACAAAGCAAGATGTAATATCTGTAATATCTGCAGAACCATCCAAAAATTTTGTTCCAAGTGTACCTTTTTTATTAATTCCATATATTTTTATTAGAGTATAAGAAACAATATGTAACATACACTACACTTATACTTATGTTAATATATTTAAAGTAAGCAATGTTTCTTTATTCTGTTTATTCTGTTACAATAAAGGTAATACACAATTACAAATCTCACATATATGTATTAGTAAAATCAACTTTTCAGTGTAATTGCCTCAGTGAAATGAGATCATCCAACAAAGCTGAAATAAAATGTGTCAATATTTTTTCTGCAACACTTTATTGGCCTTATTTTATTTTCATAAAGTGTTTCAGTTTTGATGAAACGTCAGGGCTTGGGCTGGATAAAGTGTTCCCTCAGAAAACGTTGGACCTGGGAAGCCTGTTCAGCTTTTCATTTCTCAGTTTACACCATCAGAGCAACGCTGGACAAATTAAAACATTCAATCTGTCTCTGGTGCCTCTGATTCTCTGCTTTGCATGCAATGATCTGGTTAAAAGCAACTCACCCTTGGCTTCCTGCTCCCTATTTCACGTGTTAACGGTTCCTCCTTGAGATCTGGGCTTCAAAGCAACTCTACCAGGTCTGCCAAAAGCCAGTAGATGGCAGGACCGACCCAGGGCTTCGCTTCCCTGGGCACCACCGACACTCCCAGAACTCAAAATTGAGTGTGTTTATCCCCATTCCAGCTTGATAGCCTCAGACAGCAGCTTTCCAGGGGCGAAATAACTCCACCAGGATCAAGGAAGGATTCAGAGCCATCTTCATCCCAAACAGCTAAGACCAGCAGCACTTCACCGTTGAGGATGACAGCGAAAGCACAGCCCAGCTTCAGGGTGTGAAAGCACTGGGATTGCAGAAGCAAGGGGCTTGTGATAGGACCTTCAACCTCCAGACATCCGGATATGCACCACATCGGCCTTTCCCGGAGACAAGAGAGCGTGGATGCCTATACCTCATTCCAGCATGAAGGCATAGCCACCTGGACCAGAGCAACCACACATTCCGCAAGGGTGGTGGGACCACAGCCACCTTCATTGCAAACAGGGTCTCTGGGAGGCAAGTCATTTCAAATAACCCACAACTTGAGTAAATTAACACCAAGCAATGACATTCTTTGAGCAACGACGTGGATACTTTGAGTAATGATTAAGCAACTGGCCTTGTTTGTTCTGGCTGTTTGTGCAAGGAAGTCACATCAGGTTTGCGTTTTCCAAAAGAAGAAATTTTGTCCTTTTGCAAAAATAATTTCTCAAAAACAGCTGGAAGAACTTTGTTCATTTTTAAGTCCTCCTTTTCAGCAAAGAGCGAACCCAGCGAACCTGACTGGAAAGGGCTGGTGCTGCGGGAAGCTATGAGTGTGTGCAGCCAATACACAAAAACGAGAGCCCTTGCAGTGTTGGCATAGTGGTAGATGGCAGCGGCTGCTGTTGAAATACAGCCATTTTCAGGACGGAAGAACAGAAACCGTTTTCTCATTAGACTGCTCCAAAATGGGCAGGTTTTTGACTTGAGCTGTTCTCATTTTCCAGTGGAAACTGTTCCGGGATATTTTACGCTTGCACAGAGCAAAGCTGCCTCCCCTCGTCACTTCTTGTCTTGCCAGAAAAGGTGAAGATCTCGCTTTTCTGCTGAGATTTCAATCTCTTAATTCCACAGCCGAAGTAAACACGTTCAAAGCACTTAAGGGCTGTCCCACCATGGCCCTCAAACTCCAAATCAGCCATTTGCTTTAACAAGCCACCAGTTTTAATATCTATAAATGCTGGATTCTTGCTATTTTCTTCTTATTATTAACGGTTTTAATTACTACAGCTTCACATTTTCAGGCCTTTCACTCCTGGGCTTTAGGACAGTTGAGGTTCTCACATGATTTCTGGTGCTGGGAATATTTGGGTGGGGGAAAAAAAAATCTATAGTAGGACCAGAAATTGTGAGAGTTGGCAGAACTGGATTATATGATACTTGAGATTAAACTGTTGAGTAACATCTCCTGCATTTGACAAGCTGTCATACCCTCCCTCTCTCTCAAATATACATATATCTATCAAAGAGATCTTTGCCACATGTGTTCAAAAGGAAAAACTGCAAATATCTCTTCTTCTATATACTAAGCATATAGGAATGTAGCACATAAGGAGGAGAACGACAAAAAAGAGAGAGAGGAGGAAAAAGAAGCATCTTCATGTGCGATCTATTCATCACCTATGGGCTCAAGAACACGTGTGAACTGGTCTTCAGATCTGTCCCCTGGCAATACCATTGATATAACTTGTTGTTTGTATAGGGTAAGTAGCCTGCTGAATGCTCTTCCTGCCACTCCTTGCTCCCTTGCATAACCAAGGCCTTGGCACCAGCAAACTCTGAAACGCCAATATAGGAAGGAGATGGCCATTGGAGGAGGCAACCAGATCTCACAATCCTGCTCATAGGTTTAGCCCATGGGGTTGTCCAGTGTGGCATCCTCAAGAACCTCACAACAGCATGAACAGGCATTAGGACACAGTTATGCTGATGGCTTTTAAGTTTAGCTCTTTGCTCACAGCAGAGGTGTTGTGAGGGTAGTTGAGTCCAAAACCAAGATACCTTTTACCAGGTAGCTCGAAAAGAGTTACAGCCCCATTGTTTGCAAGGTAGAATACTCTGGGTGCCGCCTTGGTCTCACTGTATCATCTACTCATAGCAACTGGCTGGCGAGGAACAAATAAACCCAGCAAACGAGGTTTTTAACCCTCTTGGGAGGAAGGCTCAGGCACAGGGAAGCTAGGGAATATGTACCCCATTTCTAGTCACTTTTTCCCTTACTTGCCCTGTGCTGTCACATGTGCATAGCAAAGGTTCCTGGCCCACCTCGAGCCCTGTGGTCCCAGCGGAGGTCCCAGCAGGCGAGGGAAGGGATGCATTAACCAGAGGAAGGCACATCTCAAGCCCAGCGAGATAAGCGATGCGTTCTTACCAGACTCCTCACCTAATTGCAGATCACGTCACAATGACCAGTCCCTCTTGTTGTAAAGGCTGTCATTAGCATCTGTGTCACTTTAATTAAAAGATGAGGAGGAGGAGGAAAAAACACGCAACCACTTTCTTTGCAAGTTATTTCTACATATCTGCACATATCTTTCAAAACAAGCTGTTTATCACTCATTTTAAATGGGGACAGAGGTGTAATTGAACAGTGTGCCGCTTGAGAGGCTTTATTTTTTGTTTTTTAACACTAAATTGGAAAACCACGTTCAAGGAGAGCATGGCTAAAGAGTGCCAATGTTACACCTGATTTTTGCTGCTAGAAGACAAAAAAGGCCCAGTGCACCTCTGATCAATCGGTGGAAGTGACAGAAAGCTTTCAGCTGACAGTTTAAGGCTCAATTTTGACTTGTTTTGTGTCTAGCAGGTCCACAGGTAGGCAAAGCAAGCAGGAAACCAGCACGATGCAGAGATGGCAGGAGGACACATCTCCCATGGGACAGCTGAGAACTTCCAGGAGCAACGCTGCCGAAAACTCTGGGAAGATCCTGGGATCTGAGAAGACAGCAGGAGTGGCAGGTCTGGTGGTGAAGTCACCTCTGCAGCCCATGCTCACCATCAGCCTGGGATCGCAGGTTGAACCTAAAGATCCAAGTATTGATAACTTTGCTTCCGACTTCACTAAATTTTGATAAACAGACCTGTTGCTCTGGATCATATAGGTATCGATGTTATTGTCTATCAGCATTGCAGGTCCCAAGCGGGGAAATCGAGGCACCAAGCCTTTGTAATATGCAGACAAATTTCTAGAGGTCCTGCTCCCAGTGCGCTTGCTCCGTTAGGAGTAATGGGGTTTACTCAGATGCCAATAACTGGCATTTTTCACTAAAATGCACCTGGAAAAGGCGAGTCCCAAGAGAGGTGAAACAAGCTGGCCCATGGGTGTTTCCCAGGAAGGGCAGGGAGATGATGGACTTGCTGCTCAGAGGTGAACTGGAAGGAATGCTGTGATGAAACACTCAAAAGCCGCTTGAGAGGGTAAGAGGCCCTCGTGCCAGGCATAATATTCCAGTTTCTTTTAAGAGCGTTTCTAATCTCTCCGTCTGGAGCAAGGAAACACACACAGCACACGTCCCATCTCGGGTAACAACAGGAGCATGTTTATTCAGGTCTGGCACTTACAGAGCTCGGAGGGACAAGGTATACGTCATTTGTTTTCCAGAAAAGTCAGCCCAGGATCAGAAGAAACGAAACAATTTTATAAAAAGAGGCTGCAGCTGCAGGGGCAGGGAATGTGTCTCCCTTCAGGTCATGCATTCCCGGTGCCTGGACCACCCATGCGTTGGAGCACGCCGGTGCCAGGCACCTCCACAGAGGTGAGAGGCAAGAACGTCTGAACATTTGACCGGGCGGTATCTGGGGTTAACTGGTTCTCGGCGAGTCCCAGCCTTCTTTTAACCAACCTTAGAAACGAGGGGGGGGGGATTAGGTATAAAAGCAGAAACCCTTCCAAAACGATCCACCTTTGCCAAGGAGGTGTGAGAGTGCAGTGGGTATGTCCACAGGAGGAGGAGAACAGCTTGGCCAAACCACCCAGGTCTCCGATGCTGGAAGAGCATAAAGTCTGGGAAAGAACCACCTTGGAAGCCTGCTGAGAAGTAGAAGATCTCCTTGCAGATAGCGACAGAGAAGATATTGGCTAATGAGACCCACAATTGCCTGTGGAAGACGGGTCTTCCTCGGCCAGCCCCATCACTCGCGAGCCCTGAGGACGTAGATGAAGCTAATGAGGACCCCCAAGGCCAGGACCGCGTAGCTGGCTTTCACGCTGCTGGAACCGCTGATGTTGCAGAGGAAGGAGTCGCAGCAGTATACAGAGGCAGCCGCTATTCCGAGGTTAATCCCAGCGCTGGGGCAAATGGGAGAGCATCCTTTGGAGATGGACTGGCCCGACTTGCTGCCTGAATTTCGGTTGGGGCGGGGGGAAAGGAAGAAAAGCAAAAAGAAGACGGGTTTATAACATTTCTCAGCTTTCTGATCAGCTGTTCTGCAAAGCAAATAACAGCACTGAAATAGCCAAAGCATCACAGGTGGCACGGAGAGGAAGAAGTGCTTCTCGGCGTCAGGCTACGACAGTAATCTCAGCCAGCCCACACATCTCAAGCAACATCCACGACAACCTCCCACACAGACCCTAGAGACCATGCAGCTCCCCAGGGACACACCTCCCAGGCTGTCGGCCAAAGTTTGGCTGCAACAGCTCCGGTGGAGAATCTCAAAAATCCCACTCAAGCTTGACCCTGGGACTTCTCAAGCGAGACAGGGGGGACTCGTGAGTGAAGGCTGCGTTTCGAGTCTTGGCTGCGAGAGGCACCGCACGCATTTAGCAGTAGGAAATGGGAAACCATTAGCACTGTGCTAAGAAGATAGGTTTATAAAAACTCCCAGCCTCCATTTGTGCATGCACAACCCACCCACGTTGCAGACTGTGCAGCTTGGGCATACAACACCCCTCCTTCCTGCAAGGGAGAGCAAGGGAGAGCTGGGTCTGGTCTCTGGAATGGTGCCATGAGACCTGCCAGAGCAGCCTGCTTCCCTGGGAGCAGCAGCTGGGAAGCATACGCCCCCCCCCCCAGATCTTTGCTGGCACTTAAGGGAGGAAACTTTCAAGTCTCCCTCCCTGGCAACCCCACCTCGTCCACAGAGAGCAAAGAAGCAAAAATGGGATTCAAGGACGAACAACCTGAACACAGGGCAAAAGCAGGCAGGGCAACCCTGGAGCTTCCTACAGAGGAAGCCTGCAGCATCCTTCACCCTTTCACTTCTTCATCAGCAACCTCCCCACTCCCACCCCAAAATTCCCCTCAGACTCTCGGCATCAGTGCAGGCACATGGGCTTCAATGTGACTCCATCTGGCAGCACATCCTTCGTAAAAATTCTCCTGGGATGGTCCGACGCTTAGCTGCTAAGCAGAACTTTCCCCTTTCTCCAGTCAAAGGAGGGAATGCTTTCCTGCAGCTCAGCAGGTGACCCAGGAGAGCAGCCAGGAAGGGCAGAAGAAGGTCCTGTCACCACTCACCGAGTCCCACTCCAACATATGTTGTCACACAGTGGTTTTCATTCTCCCCGCACCTGACAGGCTTCAGGCAGGCCCAGTTGGAGGATGCATCCGAGCACGAAAAGCAGATGAGAGTGTGGGCTGCAAGGCAAAAGTAAAACTCAGTTAGGGGCTGGTGAGGCGACCTCCCCACTTGGTGGTCCCTACCTCTGACACATGGCATGTACCACATCTGACCACGGACACGCTTGCTATTTCAGGTGTATGAATCTGCGATAGGCTTTTTCCCCAAAAAAATTCACCAAGTGAAGGGTTCAAGCACAAGGGATATGTTTCGAGCTCCTGACAGGATCAGCTGTCAGCTAAAGCCTCAATACAACCACTGGTCACCCTGGTATTTTATGGCACGCTCCTGTTTGCACCAAGAGCGGGTTCAAGCAAACTTGAAACTAAACAACACAGGCAAGTTCAGGCTGGCGATCTGGAGCCTGAGATTTGGGCTTCTTCAGCTCAGCTACCGTGAACGCTGATGGGAAATGCTCTAGGTGTGTGACCACGGGTTTGAGCTTTCTGTGACCTGCCTTTGGCAGCAGGGCACAAAGCTCCGGCTACGCTTGAGCACTTGGTGGAAATGATTTCTCAGCTAGAGCAAACCCAGCATTGCAGCAAGACCTGCAAGAACTTGCTCTGTCCCACTACCCAGGGAGTCATAGCACTACGAAGGAAGCGTATGTAACCAACCTTTTGAATTTGGAGCAGGGGGATAGCCATAAAGTATGCCTGCCTTCATGCCAGGTCCCCTAAAATGGTCTACCCTACACCAGCAGGATGGACTGCACCAGCTAGCTCCCATGCCTCATGGTTCAGGTCTCCCCAGGAAAAGGGCAAGGTTGGAAAATAGCATTCAGCGGTGGGAAATGGTTGCACAAACAGCCCGGACTGGTGACTCAGCAGGGACATATGCACTTTGCAGTGGACAGACGATCTTCCCTGTATTTTACATATAAAAACATCACATCCACACTGCAATTGTTGACCTACATACGCAGAGAGATCAGGTCTGCTCCCAATACTTCAGGGGCTCTGATTTTCGAGCGCTTAGATAGCAAGCCGTTCCACAAAGCACTGCGTTTCTCTTCTGTGTTTACAGGATGCAAAACAGAGCTGGGGCTGATTCAGGATGGGAAGTGCAAGGCAGCGTCAGTCCTGCTCCTACTTCTTTCAGTCTCACCACAAACAGCTCATCCGAAGGAGGTAAAGTCAGTGAAGCCCTGGGAGAGGTTGCTGAGGCTCAGCAGTCCCTGTCATGGACTATTTTGAAGAACAAGTTGGACAAATATTGGTCAGCAGCTGTCCCACTCTGCAGTGGGACTGCACGACCTCTTGAGGTTCTTCTCAGTACTGTTTCTCTCAAGGAAAGAAAAGCTTTTTGTGGGAAAAGTGAGAAAAAAAATAACAACTGTGCTCTGAGGAATGACTTTTGGGAGGCCACAGTCAAGGCAGGGGGAGAACACAAAAACATAATCTCAAAGAAACAGATCAAAGCAAGTTAGTGGGACATACTGAATGTGCCACCTCTGCTTTGGAGACGAAGCCAACACCACAACCCTCTAAGCAAGAATTTCCTGCACTGTCTCATGCATCCTCCAAGAATCATCAGTCTGACAATAATCCTTGCAACAAAATAGAGTTACCTGAGCGCGCCAACGCAGCAGCCACAACCTGCACAGAGCACCCAGGATTACAGAGCCACCAGTTGAGTCAAAAGCCCCAGGAGAGATTCATCACTGGACCTTGCTTCTGGATCTAGGAGAGGGGGGAGGAGGATGGAGCCAGCCATCGAGCCTACAGGCAGTCATTGGCCCTTACTGAGCCCTCAGAGCATTTCCATGGGTGGCATTTTTTACCTACTTGGCTAAAATTCAGTCTGGGACCTCAGAGAGAAGCCCAGCTCTCTCCTGCTCGCTTGTCCCCAGCGTGCTTCTGCTCTCAAGTCTCAGGCAACCTGCCTCAAACCCTTCACCTTGCAACCACCCTGAGGAGGCAAACTGACTCACCCCATTTCACAGGAACCATCTGCAGCCAGGAATGAAGTGGATTACAGGCTTCCTGTGGGCATTACGGCAGGACACATGTCCCCATATGTATTTGCCCACCATGCTGAACGCACAAGTCGAGCGGTGCCGTGTTATTCATTAAGGTTCCAGATACAAACACATCGGAAATATTTCTACGCACACATAAAAGTGCCTTTAGGCATGAAATTCTCTGCCAGGTGACTAAATCTCTGCTCCTGCCACAGCATCTCCTACCCGTCCCCGTGTTTTTCTTTGTCACACCTACCTATTACCCGTTGTCTTAGTACAGACAAAATCTTTCCAGGAAAGGCAAGTCTTTCAACGTAGTTAAGAGAGGAAATACGCAGTCATACCTAGTGCCGACTTCTGCCCCAGCCAAACAGGTAGCTAAATAACCCGCTGCAGAGCGAAGAGAGCAAACAGGTTGGGTGTTTTAGACAAAAGGCACGAGAGGGGTGGAGAATTATTCTAGGCAGCTGGAGACAGAGCAAAGAGTTGGAGCTCAAGGCCGCAAAAAAAAAAAGAAAAACAAAAAAAAAAAGCCCAGGACCGAACAATGCAAAAGCGAAGCCGTGTTTCCACCGACCAGAAAACGCAGCGTTTTTCCACGGGAGGAATTTATGCGTTTATTTGTTTGCTGCTCAGCTTCTCCCGAGGAACAAAGAGCTCCCAAAACAGAGCGGATCATCTGGGGGGAATTCCTCAGACAAGAGGTTGAAGCCATTCTTGCAAAGAGCAATGAGGGAAGGGGAGGGGAGGGGGAAAAAGCCGTTAAAAGCCCGCTCTGAGGCTCAGAGGTAGCGGTGAAAAACGCTGTCGCTTCGGCAGCTCTTCCATTCCATCCCTGTACCGATTGCTCTTTCCTTTCCCATTGCGCTTCGACAAGATCCTTACAACAGATCTTCAGGGCACTCTGAGCAGCAGTTAAAGCTTTCCTGTGAAAGACTCTGGATGTACTGGAAGCATTTGGGGGTAAAGCTATCCCCACCAAACCCTTTTGCTTGGCGAAGAACTTAACTTTAAAGCTGAAACGTTTTTTTTTGGAGCGAGGGAAGTGAAACCCTTTTACTGTCTTGGCCTGGGCAGCCCATCCTCCCAGCTGGAACAGATCACATGCCAGCCAGGCTCCGACTGAGACCGAACGCTTGAATTGCCAGTTGCTCCCCGGACCCCAGCGGGAGGGGAGCATGGGAAGGGCAGCAAACAACAAGTTTCTTCTCACCGGTGTCCTCAGGAGATAAGCAGGGCCTGCGTTTCCTTAGCAGGGGGCTCACAGGGCTGGGAACTCTCCCGTTTGCTCTTTGTTTGGCTTCTCCGAGCATCGACATATGGAAACAATATGGGGTTTCGCACAGCCCCATGGAGTTTGGATAGCCAGGAACGGAGTCGACGGGAAGGCGGGGGGACTGCAGCCCCTGCTACTTGGACAACTTGCAGTTTACCAAAGGAAGCACGTTCTCCCCAAGCTTCGGTGGCAGCTCCAAGACGCGCTCCACACGGCGGGGTCCCGTGGGGGTCACCACCCCACACGCTGGCCACCGCAGCTTGCCCCGCAGGATGCTGGGGGGAGGGGGCAGGAGCCAGGATCACGAGTGGCTCTGCCCAGACTTTGCTCCATCAGCCATCGCCGGGGCTAGGCTCCATCTCCCCTCCACCCTCCTTCCCCTCGGCTGCATCTCAGCCCATTTCGGGGCCGTTATCCCAGCTCGCTGCGCTGCACGGGGGAGCGGAGCCGGCCCTGGTCTTTGTTCGCGCTGCAACTGGGAAAAGCTCCAAAATACCTCCATGCACAGCTGGAGATGCACAAATTTACCTACAGGCACGGAAGCCCCGAAGTTCCTGCTGCAAGAGGGACACTGCTGCGAGGCAGGTCTTGGAAAGACACCCCTCCACCCGCCCC